ACCGAAGGCCCGAGAGGGAAAGGGCGCTTGGCGCCACCGCCTCATTTCTGCACACCCGCTTGGTGGCCCCGCAGGGACCTCCACCGAAGGCACAAGTGGCGATGTTAGCATGGCGACGTCGCCTGATCTTCGCACGCCCATCACACGTTGAGTGTCGCCATAGAGGGCTTCACCTGAGGCCCCAGTGGCGATATTCAGCATGGCGGCGCTTCCTCATTCTGGCCTCGGCGCGGTCCTCGCACGTGTTGTGACGATGTTCGCACGGCAGCGCCGCCTCGTTTCGGGATGCCCCGAGACCTTCCCGACCGAGAGCTCCACCGAAGGCCCCAGTGTGAACGGCCGCGTGTCGCCACCGCTTCTTGTCGGCACGCCCTTCACACGCTGTGTGGCCCCAGAGAGACGACGCCTCCTGCAGAATTGTGTCCCGGCCCCCATGGCGCTGGCGTCTCGCTGCTGCACAAGTGTGTCACGGCGCACTAGGAGGAGCCTGCCAGCGCCTCCCTGCCCCCAGAAAGGCGCCGCCACTGCCTTGCAAAATGCGGCACGGCACACATGCAAATTGCGTCGCTGACAACAACGTGTCATGGCGCACATGGTTGTTGGCGTCCCCCTGCAAACAACATGTGCTACGGAGCGCATGGTGTTAGCTTCCCCCTGCAACAGCTGTGTCATGGCGCATTGTCAGGAGCCTCTCAGCGCCCTCTGGGCCCCAGCAGGAATCCAGGAATCTGGTTGTCGCAGAAATAACGGGCCTCTTTCGTAGAAGCGCCTAGTTCGGGCCTCTCGGAGCCTCCCGTGGGCCACCCCCAGCCCGGGCGTCCAGATTGCGAGGATCTGTGCTCTTTGCGCGCATGGCGTTAGCTCTCCCCTGCAATACATGCGTCACGGCGCTCCCCCTGCAATCAAACGTGGCATGGCGCACATGGCGTTTCCGATTCTCTGCGTCGCAGCCCACATGGCGTTTCCCTCTGTGTCGCGGCGCGCGAGACGCTCCCGCCCCACCACTCCACCACTGAGCCATGCATCCGGCAGGACGCGTGGGCGGAAGAGTGCACGAATGACAGCTCTTCGGGTAAGTCACAACAAATGCGATAATGCGGCACGCCCTTCAAACGATAAATGTGTGGCGGGGCCTAGGCTGAGAATCGGGGTTGCGACAATTCGGCCGCATCTCCCAAGGACGCGCCGTTACGACAAAGTCTGCTCGTGGAGAAACACGGTTGCGACACTTCGGCTACATTTCCACAAAGTGGGTCGGTCACGACAGAATGCGCCGATTCTGCTGAAAGCCAGGCAGTCAAATAAGCACAACAATGTCTGAGAGGCGCGAAAGGAGGACGAGACGCGGCGAGAGGGAGGAAGGGGAAGGGGAACAGGGGCAGGAGGAGGAGGAGAGAAGGGGGGATACTGCTCAAAGCTACAGCATCTCATACGCAGAGGTGGCCCATCGCTGCCGCGGCCGCCCGCTCTTCCTCCAGGAGGCCCATTGTCTGGGAGAGCCGTCGTTTTTACAGAGTATTGATTTCGCTAAAGAAAAAAACCTCCATTCGCGATCTTGGTGTACAATGCCATTTGCTTCTCGCACAGTATGACAGAAAGTGGCTTCGCTCCGGCCTTTTCCAGGACGGCGGCGTTGGTGACCCTGGAGATGTACGACGGCGGATTACCCAAAATCTTCTGTTTGCATTTGTATTGGAAGGCATCTAATCGTGCTCTCTCGGCTTTGAGGAGCCATACTGAATCCAAATAATATAAGACCTTGCTCAAAACGCATGCGGCATAAATCTTTTATTTTCTCTTCGAACCAATGGCGGCGTGAGACCATAAGTTGTGCAGCTGCTTGAAAATGATCGCTCCTTCGCCCAACCTCCGAGACAATTCACTCCCAGTCTTCCGGTCGCAAGATACTAGCCCACCCAAGTAGACGGCTTCCTTGATGGATGTGATGTTTTCGCCCGTGGGTCTCGTTACTTCGCTCGTTGACGATATTCTCAACTGCACTGTCTTATCCCAAATAAGTTCCATGCTACTTGCGACCCTCAGTAACAATGTATTCAAGCATTAGCTGCAAATTTCTGGGGAATTGCGACGCCAAGAGAGTGTCGTCTGCGTACAACATGTCCCTAGTGATAACATAGTCGGGTTCTGGTTGTAGTTATAACGAATCCAAGGTGTCGTGCAGCATCACGGTCTGAACAGCGATGAACAGGTAGGGGCTGAGGGGGCAACTTTGAGCGATACCGGCAGATTGCTCTCTCTCCGAAGAAGCCCCACAATGGTCAATAATAGTGACACATCGCTCTGCGTATATCCCACGAGTCATGCTAACGATTGGCGGTGGTAGTCCAAATCTTTCCACGGTCATGCACATGCTGTCGAGCTTCAGGCGGTCGAAGGCTTTAGCCCAATCTGTTTCCAGCTTGCTGTGGAATCGCTCAGAAGTGACGTTGAGGCACCGTCGTCTGAAGTTTTGGGCTCAAGGGGTGTGGGAGCGGGCCCTCGATTTTGCAGCGAACGGAGTGTTCGCTTATCTCGCCCGTTGCCCACAGCAGCCTCCCTGTCCTGCGATTCCCGCTTGCCCGGTCCAGACCTTCTCCTGCGGGTCGGCGCCAGCGTGTCCTGCGTGTCTTGCGTGCCTGGCGCTGACTGCAGCTAGAGTCGCAGAGTCTGAGAGGCAGGAAGGATGCCGTCCGACCGGGTGCTGGTACTGGGTAGTCTTCGTGATCGGGATAGGCCTTGGTCGTGGCGTGCCTGGCGGTGCAGAGTGTGGCTCGCTTCCTGAAAGGGGTTGTTATTCGGTCGAGACGTGGAGCCAGCGCTTGAGCTCAGGGGTAGCATCGTCTCAGAGGGCGCTGGCAGGACCGACGACACCAAGTAGCAGGAATGGCGCGCGCCTTGGACTGTAGCTTCACACAGGCCCTAGCCAATGATCCTGGGGACGCTGAGTGCTTCAACCTGCGCCACGGGCCCCTACTCCATCGGGTCGAGGGATCAAGATGGATATGTTTGACGCATGTTTTCGTTTTGCTGGTGATCGACTTCTCGGTGGCGCGTCATAGGCTGGTGGCGCGGCACCAACCCTTCCCTGCCGACATCGGTGCAAAGTGCTACATCTTCGGCCCGACCGACCGCTGGGAGCTGCTGAACTATCAGAGGGCGGCTTGACAGCGAGCTCACATTCTGGTGACGGACGGCATCGACGGCGACGATGACCGAGTGTGGGTGATCAGCTGCCCGACCGACGCGTGGTTCGGAGATAGAGTGAAGAAGGCGGCGATTGAGGACGAGGAGCGTGCTGCCATCCTAGACGTCAAGGGCGTCGTGCCTTTGGATGGCGACGAGCGCTTCACCACCCAGATCGATTGGGGCTAGGTCGAAGACTCCAAGAGGGAGACCACAATCGGGGCCAACGATCGGGGGCTCCTGGGCCCGGCTCGGGTCCATTCTCGGTACGGGACCGACGATGTGTCGGAGATGAGCTGTGGCGGATGCGATGCAGCCCGAGCAGGAGCGGAAGCTTCGGCGTTTTGATGTGCCTCGCGCCGCTGCCGAGTTCTGTGAGCAGGTTCGGGACAGAGCTGATGTCTTCACCTCTTATCACGCAGAGTAGATTCACCTCAGTGGGAAGCATGAAGAGGGTTCCCACTCGCCTGCGCATGAATCCCTGTGTGATCCAATGCATTTGGCCAGGTCGACTGACCAGCTGGATGTCACCTCGCGGGCATGGGGCATGCGACCCGGCGCTTGGTGAGCTTGGAGTTGGCGATGGAACGCAACCCGCGACCTCCAGACCGCAGCGGCCTGGGCGCAGTCGAGGGTCGGGTCACCGCTGCAAAGGGGGCGGCGCGGATGGCAAGCTTCAGGGGACACATCTCGAAGCGGCAGGAGGAGCGCGCCGACATTCTCGAGCTGGAGGGGCTCTATTGCGAGGGGGCGAATAGGAGAAGGGCCGAGGACAGCAAGGGAGACGATGCAAAGGGCCGAGGCCGGAGTCGTGGCCGAGGCGGAGGGGTGATGGAGACGGAGAACAGTGGCCCCCAGGGTGGGGCGGTTTCATGGATTTTATTGATGTACTTCGTGGTTTTCAGAGCTTGGGATTGTAGCCCAGTGTTTCTGAGCGTTGACGGGCGCCGCTCTACTAGCGGGGCTGCGCGGCGACGGCGTCGACAGCTCGTCGTAGAGTGCCGGGGGGGGGCGAGCGCGGAGATTCCGTTCAGCTTCCCGAAGCCGCAGTTTTGTTTCCCAGGCGCCCCCTTCGGGAAGGCGCTGAGCGGCAGGGGCGAGCCGTGGAGGCGACCTGCGCGCTGAACTACCTCGCCGCCGCTCGCGCTGGCGATCTGAAGAGGGCACCTGCCCGCGACGGGTTTGCTGGCCGTGCGCGACGGGGCTGCTTGGAGATCATCTCGAGGGCGACCGCGATGTGCGGGGACAGGCCGAAGGACTTGGACAGCGAGGGGGTTCTTCGGCAGCTTCTCAAGACCAGGCCGCTCCATGGAGATTTACCGCAACGCTTGGCGAGCTACGCCTGCGAGAAGCTGCGAGTTCTGAATGGCGACGTCGCGCCGGAGGACGCGGTGGATGCGTTGCCGCCAGTGGCTGCCAGGTTCTTAAGACACAGTGAGAGACGCGTCGAGCGGGGCGCGGATTCTATCGAGAGCCCGCGGGCTGAGGGCGAGCTGAGTGCATCGTGCTGGGATCTTGTTTTGCGACGGGGTGCTCGAGCATGCGGTCATCTGCTGGAGGCTCTGTATCGTGCTCGGCTTTGCTCGGTGAGGAGGAAGGTGAAGGCTCGCGTTGGCCTTGTCTCAGTTCGCAAGAAGGACGGGAACATCAGGTTGATCTGTGACTCGAGGGCCCCGAATGCATTACATCAAAGGCCGCCCAAAGCTAAGTTGGGTGGCGTCGACGCCTTGGCGGAGCTCGACTTGACGGGCGTGGGCGCAGCCTGTGACGACGACCTGAGGAGGTTCGACGCGGTAGACCCAGCGGAGTAGCTGGAGGTGGCGTTCGAGGGTATGTGCATGGGCTGGACGTGGGCCCTCTACCTCTGCAGTGAGGGCATCGAGAGCTGCATCTCGGACGCGGGGCTCGCGATGATGAAGGACCGTTCGCCCGTGCCGGCTACTTGGAGTCAGAGGGGCATGGGCGGCGCTTGCGTGGGCAACGTCACCGCGGTGGCGGCCAACCCTCCTGGTGCTGCTAGCGTTCTTGAGATGGTGGAGCGCGTGGCCAATGAAGGGGGCCTCTCGCTGCGTCCGCCTGAAGTTGGGAAGCTCGTGGAGTCGCTGGGCCTGGTCCTCGACGTGGAGAGGCTGGAGCTGAGGCCCGCGCCGCACAGGCTCTGGCGTTTGTGGGCCGCCGCGCAGTCGTTGAGGTGCCGCTCGCGCGTGGGGAGCGGCGACCTGGAGGTTTGGCTCGGGCGCGCGATCAGCATGATGAGGCTGGGGCGGCCGCTGATGGCCATCCTGCAGGAGGTCTACCGCCGACTGGGCGTTCGCCGAGAGCGTCAAGTCTGCATCGACTACGTCTTGCGTCGCGAGATGTGGGCTGTCCAGAGCGTGTTTTTTTTTTTCCCCTGCGTCGACCTGGCGATGCCGATCTCAGAGGTGGTGCGCGTCTCCGATAGTTCGACGGAGGGGCGCGGGCCGCCGTGCCGCCGCGCCGGCGCGGAGGTCATCCATGAGGAGATGCGGTACCGCGAGAGGTGGCGTTTCATGGGGGCGGAGCCCGAGGCGGAGCGCTTGTTCTTCACCGCAGACTTCGCGCGGGAGGATGTGTGGGAAAACGTGGGCGTTTCCGACCCCGCCGACCCCGACGAGCAGGTGTTCGCTGCTTGGGCCCTGGCGACCTGCGGCCTCTGGGCGTGGCCCGAGGAGCGCATCCATGTGAAGGAGGCGCGTGTCTCTCTGGATGGTGTGCGACGGTGCGCTCGCAGCAATCGACTTCGTGGGCGTCGAGGGCTACATCTGGTGGATCGCGTGGTGACCTGCTGTTGTTTCGACAAAGGCAGAGGGCGTTCGTCGGCCATGAACGCCGTGTGTGCCTGCCAGGTGGCGGCCGACCTGCGGCCAAGGTGGAGACGCGTGGACAGCGAGTGCTGCGCCGCTGATGAGGGCTCTCGGGGTCAGCCAGCGCCGACGGCACCCCCTGCGAGATCTCCGTCGCTGATCGAGACGGTCGAGGGCCCCTTCTCCGCTATCAAGCTGCCGCGGGAGCGCTTGAGTCTTGAGGCGGCAGTTGACTGCGCCAACTGGCCCCCGTCTCGGACCGCCCTGGCCTGGGCCCACCGTGCGGACTCGGTGATCCTTGAGCTGTTCGCTTGGGCCGCAGGTTTCACTTCGGCTTGCCAGCGTCGTGGTTTGCGCACAGGCCGGCCTTTCGATATTCAGCGTGGACTGGGATTCGACCTGAGTAACATAAAGGTACAGAAGTCCGTCCTGAGGAAGATCAAAGAAGGGAAAGTGCGACATGTTCACCTGGGGGCCCCGTGCAGTCGGGGAATCAAGAACTGGGCGAGGGTCGAGGCTCGGGAGCACTTCGGAGATGGTTTCGTTTGATTCAGTGTAGATGTGGTTCGTGAATGCGTACGGTGTGGGGCGACGTTTACCTGGGAGAATCCTCGATCGAGCAGGCTGTGGCAGTTTCCTCCGTAAACAGGTCTCCTGGGGCTCCCGAGGGTCCATTTCGTGTCGCTCGACATGTGCGCGTGCGGGTTAGACCGCAAGAAGCCGACCTATAACATGACAAACACGCAGTGCATCGATCAGATCGCCCTTAAGTGTGATAAGCAGCATGTGCACGTACCGTTGGTGGCGCGTATCAGGGTTAAAGGGGGCGATGGGGCACGTCGTTGGGTTCTTCGGACGAAACTTGCTGGTCGTTATCCTAATGATCTGTGCGTGTCTTTAGCCAACGCTGTGGCCCAAGAAATTGGAGAGCTGGAGATCGCTAGAGTTGATGCGAATGCCCACGGCGTGCCCTTAGAGCCTGGATGGGTGAAGACCTGGAGAGCTGAGCTTCGAGGTGGTTGCCGCCAGACGGTTCGCCCGAACGTCAGTGCAGACGAGCCTGGAGTCGGCGATCTCGGCGCAGAAGGCGGTGACGTGGCTCAGGAGGGAGTCGCTTGCGTCGCCAGGCATGGGGCCCTATTCGGTCATGCGAGTGCAGTGCGGGCTGAACAAGCGGTCGCAGCGGGACGCGCGCGCCCGCCGCCGCGAGACGGCCTGGAGTCTTAACAGGCCGCAGCGTGCTGTGCCAGCCAAGCCGTTGCTGAGGTTGGCGACCGTGACCGAACCGACCCTCGAGGCGTGCAGGATGAAGCTTGCGCAGTTCGAGCAGAGGGCGGCGGAGAAGGGCCGCCTGCTGGACACGAAGACCGTGGATGGGCTGATGTGCGAGAGCTTCTGCGAGAAATACCTGGCCGGAGGGGGCCCAGCTCTGGAGCGCCACTTGAAGCGCCTGGATCTGGCCGAAGACACGTAGCTACGTGGTGGTGGGGCAGTGCGACGGGTACTGCGAGGTGGTGGTGCAAGACGACGGGTGCTCGAGGCCTTCGGAGGCGCCCAACCTGATCAAGATCAGCATCGTGCCGCCGCAGCCACGGGCCGACCAGCTCCACTCAGGCGAGTGGAGCTTCGTGAAGGGCGACCCGGAGCAGGAGAAGACCGCGAAGACCGGCCTCAAGGGCGTGGGGATCAGAGTCAGCGGGGCGTATCGCCGCCCACTGCGGGGCCACCCGAAGCGGCTGTGCTATCGAGGTCACCGCCCGCGCGATCGTATATTTCGCGTCTCCTGGCCACAGTGCGAGAAGGATTCCAAGCGGGGCTTCCGGGAGCTCGGTCCCGACGCGCTCAAAGGGCACGCGCTCGCGGTCCGCCATCGCGGATCTTGAGGGCCGTCTAAGATGAGTGGGGCCCAGCAGAGTGCTGGCACCTGGGCGTCAGCACATGTGTCCACCTTGCTACGCTTCTCGTGGACATCTTGAATGTGTATGCGGCTTCGCAAGGGCCACACTTATGGTGAGACATTTATGGTGATGTTCAGGCCGTTGCTAGGATATACATCACAGCGTGTTGTAGCGCTGCTGCGTCACCCGCCTCGCGATGCCGTCGAACGCTCCCTGGGCAGGAGCGTGTGAAAGAGGCAGGTGTTCGAGTGGATGGCAATCGAAGTCGGGTGCTGGAGAGGAGGGGGAGTGATGTTTCTAGCTTGCTGTGGAACCGCTCAGAAGTGACGTTGAGGCACCGTCGGCTGCAGTTTTGGGCCCCCGCACACCCGCCCTTGCTGGCGTGCGCCTTTCTCTTCCGACATGTTTTTTTTTTCCCCTTGCCATCCACTGTTCTGTGTTTACCGTGTTCCAGTCTCGGGACTGTGCTTTTCGAACCGTTGGTTGGATGTACATCGCAGCGAGTTGCAACGCTGCTGCGTCACCTGCGTCGCGATGCCGTCGAACGCTTCTTGAGCAGGAGCGTGTGAATGAGGCAGGTGTTCGAGCATATAGCAATCGAAGTCGGGTGCTGGAGAGGAGGGGGAGTGATGTTTCTAGCTTGCTTTGGAACCGCTCAGAAGTGACGTTGAGGCACCGTCGGCTGCAGTTTTGGGCCCCCGCACACCCACCCTTGCTGGCGTGCGCCTCTCTCTTCCGACATGTCTTTTTTCCTTGCCATCCACTGTTCTGTGTTTACCGTGTTCCAGTCTCGGGACTGTGCTTTACGAGCCGTTGCTTGGATGTACATCGCAGCGGGTTGTAACGCTGCTGCGTCACCTGCGTCGCGATGCCGTCGAACGCTTCCGGAGCAGGAGCGTGTGAAAGAGGCAGGTGTTCGAGTGGATGGCAATCGAAGTCTTGTGCTGCATAGGAGGGAGGAGTGATGATCATAATAAAGTACATTGAACATTTTCCATTGTGCACATTAGCTGCATCTACCAACCTCCGTGTTAACATCAAAGCGTCTGACGTGCCGCGCTTTGGGCGGAAGCCGAAGTGAGATCCCCGCGTTCTCCGCTCGCGCCCGCCATCTGAAAGCCCCTGGTGTAACATCGACGCCAATGCCATGCGCCCGACGGCCAGAAGTGATATCGGTCTGTAGTTGCTCGGTACAGTCGCGGTCCTTTTCTTGAGCAACGATGCCGCGTTAGCCCGCCTCCGCGTGGATGGTGTAGTCTTCGCATCCCAGTATTTTGGTACATTCGCAGGAGTGCTCCGCAGGCGTACGTGTCTCCGACAATGGCTGTTCAGAATTCCGCAGGAAGGTCATCGGGCCCAGCTGCTGTCTTATTTCTCATCATGTTGATCGCTACCCAGAGCTTTCCTAAGGAGAGCGTGTCGGTGTTGACCGTCAAGGTGGCCCCAAGTATTTCGGTTTTCGTGGGCACCACGTTTGCAAAGCAGACTCGCTATAGCACCTCTTCGAAATGCTCTGCAAGGGTGTCTGGTCTGGCCGAAGTTCCAGAAATATACATATCCCCGTTCAAATCCTTGACTCCCACGTGCTTGCGAGGGGCAGGCCTTCCTAGTTTTTCGATCGCGTCCCAACTGCCAGATCATTCTGACTTGTCCGACCAAGCCGCGCGATCCTACTTCCCGGCTTTCCGTTTCAGTCTGTGTGGGCGGAGCTCGTTTTTGTAGTGCCCCCGACTTGCGACAAGCGGCCTTGTCGGCAATGAGTCCCGCAGTATCCGTATTTGCCCATGATATTCGCGGTCGTTTTTCACATCTTGGAAGGAAGCTTGCTGGGCATGTTCCACGGCCTCGCTCAGAGAAGGAGTCAGAGGTAGGTCCGCAACGGCAGCGGAGAATGTCGCGGTGGAGAGTCCCTGTGTGCGCTTTCCTGTCAGAGAGTCATTTTTCGTCGGAGTTCCAGCCATTGACGTTCTTTGAAATTCTAGCTGCAGAGAAGCGCAAGTCAGAAAACGATGACTGTTGAGGGTAGCTGCACCTGTAGACCAGCATTCTTCCATGCGTGCAGGTATCGAACGGTGTCATAACACATGATCCACTTGAGGGAACACTTCTGCCATAATTGGTTGCATCGGCTGCACCCCCCAAGTTCTGGTAGGTCACCTGGTTGGCGTCTTCCCCATCGAAGAATGTGTTGGCGATCACCGTGTCGCAGCCCGCTCGTGACTCCATCCAAATGCCGTTTCACCGGTGGAGCGCGTCGTTGGGGTGGAGCTCCCTTAGAAACGTGTTCACCAGTGATGTCCTCTGCGCCCGCTCCTCGACATAATAGCTTGGCGTTGTAGCCCCCCGGGGCGACAGTGGAGCTGTGCGGCGTTGTTGGCTTGATGTGTTGGGCGAGGTCAGCGTAGAACGTCTGCCGCACTTCTGGGCCCTGCCCGCTGTGGGGGGCATGGGCGGGAATTCGCGTCAATGTGCATCGGGCGACAATGATTTTGAGTGTAGCCATTCTCACTCCGATAGCTTTACAAGTGACGACGGCAGAACGCGCCCGAGGTGATATGACGAACCCTACTCCTGCATCGGATCTGGGTTTCAAATTCGCCTCGCCAGAGAGAAGATAAATATACCCATCTTGAGTGAAATATTCGGCTCCATGTAGTTGTCTTTCTACATGATATGTCGACGGTGTAGCTGTCCATGATGTGGGCAATTTGCGTCAACTTGATGCGTGATTTCCCTCGCATTCCTTCAACGTTCCATATGCCAAGACGCATCGCTTTGAGTAAAGAACAAGTCTGCCTGGACCCCCCCCAGGAGTCTCGGAACTTCCCTGGTCTGAAAATTGCGGACGTCGGTACAGGAAATGCATGCGCCGACGTAGTCTGGCGAGCCAGAATCCTAGGCGGTGGCAGGCAAGAAAATGATGTGGAAGAAGCTTGCGGAGTAGCAATCGGCGAAGGAAAGGAAGATGGTGGCGCTGGCTCGCTGTCTATGTTCCGCGTCCCTCGTCTTGACCTGGGCTTGCTGTACGTCGTGCCAGCGATCTTCCTCGCCAGGGACGTGATTGGCTACCCGAATTACCACCTGGTGCTGCGCGTCGCCCGGATGGACCACCTGGTGCAGCGAGGCTCGCCTCCTGTTAGCCTCTTCCCCTGCTAGGTGTCGTCCTC